TCACACAGCCCCACTCCACTCTGTCATAAGCCTTTTCCATGTCTAATTCAAGGCCATGAAACAATTTCTCCCAGTCCGATGTCTATTAAGAAAGTGGAAAGACTCATGAGCCCCATCAATACAATGATCAAGACATCCCTTAAGCCTATCAGCTAAGATTTTAGAAATAATCTTGTAGATCACAGAGCAAAGGTTTATGGGTCTGTACTGGTTTAAGAATTCAGGTTTATCACACTTAGGAATAAGAGTAATTAAGGTATGGTTCCAGGATTTCAAAAGAAGACCAGACTCAAAAAAGCTAATAACAGCTTGACACAATTCATTTTAGTTATAGATTAAAGTATTGCAGTTGAACAAACAGTTTTTGTTTTCAAATCCTTAATATAAGCCAATTCATCTTCCCTTCATTCTTTGTTTTTCATTTTAATATTATTTTGATTGTAATATTGGTGATGAATTTCAATCTTTTCACAGCAATTGAAAGTTTTAAGGCCATTGTTTTGCTACTTTTTCATATTATGATGTTTTATTTAAATTTTATCTATTTTTCCTGGAAGCATCACGTTTCAGTGAAAAGTTTTCTCTTATTAATTTTTAGGACTGTGCTGTGGGCTATTGTTTGCTTTGCTTCCAGTTCTGGGTGGAACTTCTGGTATTATGCAAGGCGTAATATCTATGACTAAATCGTAAGTTCATTCTTTCTCCTGTATCAGACTGGATTTTCTTGAAAGGGTGAAAACTCTATCTTTGCTTTATTCAGGATATTTAGAATGCATGCTAATTAATTCATTGCCAGGTTGGTGGTGTTGATTGCTTTCTTGGCAGTTTTGACGATATTGTCACGGACTTGTATACCCTGGTTTCTAAAACTAATGATAAGTTTGTCATCCCAGGTAGGAAAGTAACTCGCCTCACACATCAAAAGAAAAAAGAAAAAAAGTTATAGATGCCCTTTTAATTTTATAATGATTTTTAGTCTAATATCATTTGAGGTTGAGATGTCTGTTATCCATTAGGCATGCTGCATATCAGAAATGTGACCGCCGATTCAGTTGGTCAAACGTATGTGAATGTTTTTTCTTCTTCTGCAGACTAATGAGCTTTATCAATTGGCTTCAGTGGCATTTTGCCTACTCGTAGCCTGGGTTAGTCTCCTTTCCTTCTGGCAGATTTTTTGAGATTGACTTCACTTTCGACGTGCATACCTACACTGTGTTCATATGCATTATATTGCCAAGATTGTTCGGTTTGCCTTCTCCTTCCTTTTGACGTCCCATGCCTTGAGAGGCATTTACATAAATAGGATGTCTCCCTGTCTCTAGTTTTTAATTCAACTGCTTTGCCTTTATAATGGTATCTTAAATGATTGTACCCGTATTTTTAAACCTGTATGGTTTCAGTGTAGTGACAAGCTTGGTCTAAGTTTAGAGTTGGGTTCTTTTGCTGCTGGAGTTATGATAGCAACGACTGATCTTGCTCAACACACTCTCGAACAAGTAAGATTACTTTAGCAACTTCCTTTTGTTATTGGAGAAAACTAAACTCCTTGCTTATATGTTCATTAAAATTTTTATTCATGTTCTCAAAATTGTAACTCCACACATTGTCATTGTGGAAGTTTTGTTTTGTGGCTACATTGACTAGTTTTTGTATATCTGCAGGTTGAACCTATTTGGAACATGTTTGCAGCTCTCATTTTGGCTAGCATTGGGATGCTAATCCATGTTCATTTTCTGTGGAACCATGTTGATATCTTGTTTGCATCAGTTATATTAGTGGTCGTTGTTAAGACTCTAGTAATTTCTGGAGTTGTCAAGGGATTCGGCTACAACAATAAAACCGCAGTTCTTGTAAGATGTTACCTTCAATTATGTAGCTCATGTTATTTTTTCTTTTATCTTTGTTTTGTAGCACATGTTAATATTCTTTTCACGAAATGAACTCTCAGTATCCTTGGTCCTTGAGTCATGTAGGTTGGGATGTCTTTGGCACAAATAGGCGAATTTGCCTTTGTACTGCTTAGTCGTGCCTCAAATCTTCATATCTTCATCTTGTTGAGGTAAATACTACAGTTATAAAACCACAAAAGCAATCTTGCTTTTTGGCTCATTTATGTAGTGAATACATGAGAGACAATGCCTGTGTTTCTTTGCTTCACTTATTGCTGTGCAGACTCACTCTACATGAAACACATCGATATTTTTGAGAATCCTTTTTTTTTTTTTTTTTTTTTT